CGAATGGGCATTCCTGGCCTCCAGAAACACTGAGGAGAGAGTCACACTGAGGTCTGGAATGCGGAGGGGCCCAGAGGCTCCTGCCGACCAGACTCAGCCCAGGCACAGAGGCACCATTATGGAGGGAAGCAAGACAGAGCCAGCAGGCAGGACACCAGCCCAGACACGTAAAGGGGATGGAAGGGCTGACTTTCTGTGATGCCACAGTGTATCTGCCTGGAATACCATGGACCCGACAAGACTCTGGAGGACAATGGGACCCTTCTGAGAGTGAGGTGCATGCTGCATGGGAACCACGGACGTGACAGATTTTGATTGTTTCAGTGAAAAAGTAACTAGTATCTTCTGTCTTGCCTCAAAAAGAGAAAATCAGGGCCCTTATCATAAGAATGTATTCCCCTTTGAGGCTGACGCTGTAACCAACACCAAAGAGCCCCAGAAGACGCTGCCAGGGTGGTGTCCCTCCACCTGAATGGACACCTGTGCCTTCAGGTGGCCTGGCATCGACAGTCTTGCCCCAGACAGTCTGGTACAAACCCAGGCCGCGGTAGATCGGGAGACTGGATTCACTTGAACCGGAGAATGCCTCTGGGAAGCGGGGTAGCAGGGTCTAGATGGAGAATCTAGGCTTTTGGAGACTGGGCACAGATGCATCCATCAAAAATGTCATGGAGCGGGAACCGTATCTACTTATTCTCAAGGGGAACCCCAGCTCCAGCTGAGCCGACTGGCACCCCCATAAGCCTGAGCTGAGACTTTAGAGGATGAAAGAAGAGGTGACATCTGCTCCCCTCGAGGTGGGACTTCCTAGTCCTCATGTCAAGCAGCCCCTCTTGGTGCCCAGGCAGGCACCCCTCCCCAGGCCCCATGGCCTGCCATATTAGTTTCTCTCAGAGTGGCCTGGGGAGCTGCGCATCTCCAAAGGAGCACGTGCTCCAGAAAGGAGCCAAAGAGTTGACAGGGTAAAGATGTGAGCCAGCCAATTGGACAGGGGCCACAGGAAAAACCCCAGGGAGAGGAAAGCTGGAAAGGACTTGATAGTTAGACTTGCCCCTTTCCCATGAGCCCCTAGGCATGGCTCTTCTCTCCATCAGCCTGGGCCCGGAAAAACTCACCTGCCATGGCGCTCCCTCAGATCCAGTGTCTCACTTCCCTGACAAAGGAGAAAAGCAGAGTCATGGTGAAATCACACCCCGAAACCTACAGGGCACCCTCTTGGTCCTGGGATGTGACTCCCACCCACACTGGCCGGGTCAAAGGGCAAAGCAGCACCCCATGGAGCACATCATCCTCTGCGCAGCCACTTACAGCCCTGCTGCTCTCATCCTTTTCCAAGAACACACTCAGAGAGTCTAGACCTAAGGGTTGAGGGTTTTCTTTGAAAAAAGAAAAACTCCTACAGGCTGAGGTTCCGCCTTCCTCACTCTCCTCGATGAATCTCTGCGCTTTTGAGCTGGAAAAGACCTCAGAGACAAGGGGCAACAACAACCATCTCCAAAGTCATGGCCCAAGCCCAGATGACCTGCTGTGTTCGTCTTCCACAGACAGGGTGGCAAGGATCTCCTGAAACAGACTCATCTCTCTTCTCTTTGCATTAAATAACACGGCAGCAGAGGACCTAGACATTAATTGACGTGCTCAAAACTGAGCCGCTAGCTAGACAAGACTGTTGCCTCTAATGGGAACTATCATCTGAAAGCTCAGGAATTATCCGGCCAGTATGTAAATGCAGTGGCCGCAGCACACTGCCCTCCCCCGCAATGTACACTCCCACTCATGCACATATTCCAGAGCACTGGCCAAGCCGTCCACATCTGGGAGCAATCACCCCACTGCTCCCCTCCCAAGCAGAAGCCCTGGTTTTATGGATGTAAGACACAGGAACAGTGCTACCCTTTTTGCCTAGGCTGCCAGGAAGTTCAGTATTAACATTAACCGTGAAGGACAGGCGCCCTGGAAGCCCAGCTGTTAAACACTTATGCGTTCTGCCCTGTGACACAGTATCCACTTTTCCACTTATGTTTTCAATCTTATGTATATTTAAAATATACCCTGTAATCCTTTTGGCAAACAGGTAGAATATTAATCATAAATAAAATTAAAACTCAAGGAAAAATAGCAAATGTTAACATCCTTCTATGGAAACACTGTGTTAAGGGAGCCTTTCTCTTTTGCACCCTACAACAATCCCACCCAAAACTATGAGCATGGGAATTTGTCAACAGATGGGCCTGCCATTGTGAGAAAAGTTGACCCCAAGTGTTTGTTTATAAGAGAGAAGATGTAATATTATCTCAAAATCCTGCTTCTATTATGGATCTCAGAGGTTCCCCTAAGGCCAATGCCAGTCACGTGTCTAGGGTGTGGGTGTGGCATGCCTAACAGCAAGGTTTTTGATTGAAGAAAAATGGAGCTGTTGTGTCAGGGTTTGAAAAGAATGAGCAAAGGCTTTAATAATAAGTGACGACAGAAAAATACATGTTTCATTGCTTATCAATGAGAACTGCATTTAGATTTTTTCTGTGGAGAAATTACGTAACAGCTTCCATATAGCTATGTCTTATCCCAAACACACCCGACTGTGGTGCATGCACACCCACACGTATCATAGGCCAGACTGTGTTATCCTGACACCTGCATAAGTCATTAGTTCATTTTTAAGCTTCAGACATGCCAGGAACTCCTCCAAACAGCTCCCAGGCATGGCCCACTCCATTAACAATTCTGTGGCCACCCTCACTACTGCTGCTGCCCTAGGGCCTCCTCCCCCTCCTTCCCCAAAATTTAGCGCCTGCTTCTTCCCCTATAAATACACCATCAATAGGCCGTTACTATGGCAACAGTGAGGAAGCGCGAGGGCTCCACGACAGAGAATACTGCTGCAGTCACGCTTGTATATGTCCCTCCTGCCCCTGGTGGATACTGTAAGGCTGAGTGGAGGCCGGAGGAATTTTTAACCCACTCCCCACAGGAACACAGCTGAATCCTGACGGCCTGGAAAGGAAGGAAGGCAGGGACTGGCCACCACAAAGACCTTCCTTAACCCCCACCCCCACCCCCGCCAGGCTGCAGCTGACCCGTCCCACCACTCTGGGACATCACTCCCAAAGTCCCTCGCATAGGGACTGGCAGCCATCTGAGCATCTAGTGTCCCAAGACGTGGCCTCAAAAACGTTTCTCCAAATCCCAGCCCTTTTCATTTCCCTCACTCAGAACTGATCACTAGGAAAGGCTTCTGTGATCTCCAAATCTCATGACTCATCAACCCACCCGATGACACGGAATTCCCAAATTACGCTCCAACTCAAACTCTGGGCCCTCCTCGTCCCCCTTCCACTCATGCCAGCCCTGAAAGTGCCCGTGCTTGCCCACCGTCGCCCGCCACCAGTGCCCGCCACCAGAGCCCTGTCCAAGAACTCCTGCTTCTGGCCCAGCAACTGGGTCTGCTGGTGAACCCCCAGCGCCCTGGCCCGACCGGGCCTCCAGATCCTCCCCCAACAGGGCCCAGCGCCCAGCTCAGTGGCCCTGGACGCGGCACCGTGCCCTCGGGGCTGGGGCGCCCAACCCCAGCGGCCTCACCGTTCTCCGGGCCCAGGAGGCGGCAGCCCTGTTTGCGCACGCAGCCCGCCACCTCGCTGCTGCGCCTCTTCCAGCAGGGCCCCTGTCCCCGCCCACCTGCTCCCCGTCGGCCAAGCCCCCCGGCCCGGCCCAGCCGTCTCCTCCCACCCTCCCTCCCCGCCCCGCTGCCCTCCCACCGCCCCGGGCGCCCCGTGGCTCAGCCCGGCCGGGACCGAAATGCGCCTGGAGCTCCCGCCCCTCGCAGCCGGACGCCCAGGCCCTACCCATACCTCGGTGCCCCCCTGGCCCTGCTCTCCTCTGGGGGCTCCGCCGCTGCCCGCCCCCAACACCCCGCCGCGCCAGGTCTGGCCTCGCGCCCCGCGCCTTGCGCGCCACCCTCGAGCGCCACGACCACCGCGCCCCGGGCGCCAGGCCGCGATCGTCGCGCCGCACCGCGCGCCGGGCCGCCGGGCCGAGGAGAGTAGAAGGAGTGGGGGGCGACGAGAGCGGGCCGAGGGGGTAAGGAGGGCGGGCCGGCGAGCTGGGCCGGAGGGGCGGTGGCGCGCACCGAGCACCGCGCGCCCGCGCCCCACTCCGCCAGCGCCGCCCCTGCCCCCGCCCTTGCCGCCGGGGGGCGGGGCCTGGCCGGCGGGCCCGGGGCAATCCCGGAACCCTCGGCCGAAGGCGCGGGCCCCGTCGTGCCCCCGGGCGCAGGCCCTCGGAAGCCCGGCGCCGCAGCGGGCTCGGGCAGCCGCACCCAAAGCCAGCGCGCCAGGCGTCCCCGCGCAGCCCAACCCCAGGGGCGGGGGCCCGCAGCCCGGGCCTTCCTCGTCAGGGTGCCAGCGGGCCTGCAGAAGAAAGGCCGGGTCGAGGCCGCGTTCAGCCAATGACTGGGTGACCTTGGCTTCGTCACTTACCTCCCCCCGACCCTGTCCCAGGATGGCAGTCTTCTCTCTGCTCAAATCTGGGGAATGGGGAGCATCCTGCCGCCCTCGCGGGGCTGCAGCGGAGTAGTGGAAGAAATGGGCTTGGGAAACTCTTGACGCGTAGGAATGGGAGAGGATGGAATCTTCGGGGCCTGCAAGGGGAGCGCTGGGTGGGGGTGGGGCCCTCAGGAGGCCGCGATGTGGGAGGTTCAGCATGACAGGACAAGACGCTGGTAGCAGAGGGATGACACTAGCCGTGGGAGAACCGCGGGAAGAGGTGGCCTGCTAAGAGAGGGCAGGACGGTTCCAGGGGGGCTCAGGGTCTGGGTCTGCCAAAGCCTCCCACGAGGGGCCCTGTGCGGCCTGCTGGGTTTTCTGGGCTCTTTTTGTTCTCTGCGCTTCTGGAGCCCAGCCCAGCACGGGAGTTGACAAGCCCACCCCCCTAATTTGGTGTTTTGGGGCAGAATGAGCCTGGAAGGCGCCACCCGAACTACCTCCGCCCCCCATTCCAGGCAGAGAAATAGCAACTTGCCCACCACCCTCGGTTTGGTGAAAATAGGGAGGGAAAGCTTCCATCACCCCAGCGGCTTCCAGTTCAGCTCTGGGCTGGCAGAAAGCAGCCTTGGCCAGGGCCCAGCTCCCCATCTTCCTCCCCTTTCCCCACTCCCAGTGGTGCTTTCCTCTCCACCCCTGCCTCCTGTTCGCAGAGTCCTCCCCTGGCTTGCTTGCTCTTCCAAGGCGGCAGGAGCCTTCTTTGCCCAGCACAGACCATCTGAACCCTCCCCAATGAAGAAGGCAGCAGGGCCGGACCCCTGGCCTGTGGGGTGGGCTTGCACAGAAAAAATCAAGTTCACCTGGGATTGTGAATGGAGCTCCTTTGGGGCCCAAAGGGCTACGTATCTTTTCAAAGCACCCTCAGATCAGAGGGCGAGATCCTGGGCCCTGATTGGTGGGGGAAATGGTCTGAGGCTCTTCAGGAACTGACTTCCTGGGTCTCCTAGTCCACCACCTTGTCCCATCCTGATCTTAACATCCACTGTGTTCACAGATGACTTTATGTAGCTTTCAGGGTGAGGCGAGGGTCCATGGCTTCCACCGCCTTCTGGCATCCCCAGCTAAGCTTCTGGCTCCAGCAAAGCCAGTCTAATTCTAGTTCCCTCTCTGCCCAGGATGCCTTTCCTCCCACCGTCAGCCTCTGTGCATTTGTATTCATTCTTCCCAAATAGCTCAGATGGCATCTCTACTCTTGAGGTCTTGTGGGATTCTCCACCCCCACCTGTGTTGACTGTTCTATTCTCAGCTCTCTGTCTGCAGAGACTATAAACGTGCGTGTGGGCTTCTGTGGATGCCAAGGGCAGGAAGGAACAATAGCAGTGCCTATGCAGCACACTGCCTGCTTCAACCCTTGGCGGTACCCCAGATCAGCTCTCTGATACTCAGCAAGTGACTTAACCTGTCTGCATCTCAGTTTCCTCATCTGTCAAATAGGAGTGATGATAATAGTACCTGCCTCAAACGGTGAGGAAGAGGGCAAATGGGATAGTCATGTCAAGTGTTCCTGGTGCTTAAGTATGAGTGTGACGCATGCTGGTTTTTGCCTGCCTCCAGCTGCGTTGTGTTCATTTGGTTTCTCACTTGTGTTGCACACTTGCCTCTTCTATCTCGAGGCTAGGGACCTTGCCTCTTCGAGTGTCCCTAGCATCCAACAGAGAGCCTCATCTACAGCAGGCTTAGTAGACGCTTGCAGAGCTGAGGCAGGAGAGGCTGGGCTGCTATGAGAAGCTGGAGTGGGGGTCAGCCTTCAACTTACCACCAAGATATTGACCCCAACACCACCAGCAGCTCTGGCCCCTGAATCCTCCCTGTGGGGAGCCTGAGTCTCGGCTTCCTCCAGATTTTGGCTCCCTTAGAGGGTTTTCTGCCACCCCTCAAGATGGCTACAGGCACTCCCAAGGACTGGCTGGGGAAGGCTGCAACCTTCCCCCACCTCCGTCTCTGCTTTTAGATTGTGGTCTGAACAGCCCCCTCTGCACCAGGATGGGAAGGGCTTGGCCACTGGTTTCTCTACCTTGGCCAGGAACTTGGCAGTTTGGTGCACTTCGAGGCGTTTTCTTTTTCCAATCAAATCACAATTCCTTTATAATCTCCCCCCAGGCTACCTGCACAGTTCAGATCTTCATAATCTGAATCCCAGAGAGATGTTCTGGTCTTCCTGTGAACCTTCACTCCCTCTCGTCCATCTTCATTACATCCGACGTGCAGCCTCTCTTTACTCACTACGTTGACGATCGCAACAAACACACCTTGGCACACATCAAATTCACATGTGTAGAGCGCATCGTGGGAAGACCTAACTCCAAGAAAAAGTATATGGTGCAGTTGCTAATAAGACAAAAAGATGGCAAAAGGCAGATCATATTTCAACAAAAATTCCCAATACAGTGCAAGAGGCTAGACCTTCCACCCCAACCTGATCCGAACTTCTAACCTGTCTCCATTTTCGATCCAGATCCCATCTGGCAGGACCAGCTTCATGGCTGTTGGACCTATGGAGCTGGACACGGTTCGATGCCTAGAAGGGTTCCCTATGCTTGGTTCAAGGCTCTGCTGTCACCATCTTGAAATTATTAATACTTTTTTGAGCAAGAGACCTGCATTTTCATTTTTCTCTGGGCCCCTCAAAGTATATAGTTGACCCTGCCCATCGAGGACATTCCCAAGATCCTTGATGGTCCCATCCCAGGGTCTCAACCACCCCACCACTCTTTGACTCCTCCCCTCCAGCTTTCTGCCAACATTGGCCAGTCTCTCCTGTCCTCACCCCTCAAGTGCACTGACTCCATCAAATTCCTCCACATGGCCTCTCCCTTTGACTGAGAGAAGTACCCTCTTCCAGCCTCATTCAATCCTGGCACCTCACTCTCTACCCTACCATCATCCAGCCCAAGATTGAACCCTCCTATAAGCCCTGTTGACCCCCATCCTCTTATGTCCTCACTGACCTTCGCCCCATTCCTGAGTCTAAACACTGGTCCTTACTCCAGAAGAGTCTTAATCCATCTCTGTACACTGATCAACAAATCAAGCAAGTATTCTGGACTGAATT